AGCTGTGTGAATTATTTTTCTTTGAAGCATTTTATAAATTTTTTTTTTTTTTTTTGTTTTTCTCCTCATTGCTCTGCAATGCAATATTAGTCCGGTTCCTCAGTCATCATCAAGCATACCATATACATACATGTATAGGTGTGTATACATAAAATTGTTAAAAATGAATTTCGTGTGTGTGGATTTTTATCAACACACTTACTTGCGCTTACATACAGTTAAAGAGTGAAGACAGCATGAAGGAAAGAAAATTAATCTATAATTTGTCATTTATGACAGTTTCCATCATAATTATCATTATTAAAAGAGTGGTAAATTGTAAGTGATATAGGCAAAGCACAAACCTATATATATATATATATATATATATATATAAAGCATACGAGAACACTGGCTTGAAGGCTAAATTTTGTCACGCCGGCTCTTAACTGAACTCAATTGACTGAGTGACTAACTGACTGACTGCTCGAGTGAATGAGCAGTGATAGTAACCAAAGTCAAAGAGAAGCCGGTTTTTTACACGCGATCAGTAACAAATTTATATAAAAATAAAATAAAAAAAATATCACTTGATTTAACAGGTTTTTGCTATCGCTTATATATACCCGCATATATAGTATTTACACTATATGCATAGGCCTGTGTGTGTGTATTTGTGTGCGTGTGTGTGCGTGCATGCGTGCGTGCATGTGTTTGTGTGTATTTGACATTTTTACAATATTTAATTACCTTTTTTTCAGTTTTCCTTTTTTTTTTTTGTTTTTTTTTGTTTTTTCGATTTTTAATCTTTTAATTACTCGCTTTACAGTCATGTTTATCAGTATTATCATGTTTGTAAATGATTTTTATTAGTGCCTGGCATCAGTTACAGTAAATGCAAATAATTTTGTAAATTTATTACATTTTATTATGTGTGACCACAATCATGTGGAAATCTTTTAAAGCATTTCAATTATACGGAATTAAAAAATCATAACAACAAATAAGAAAGCCTCGAATCTAGAATAACCATCATCACGAACACTAATTCGTTCATTTAGCGAATGACAAAGTGTCTCGAAAGTGTAGTTGCGTAGTAGTTGCGTTCGAAATACTTTATCTTGAGTATTATCTTAAATTAGTCTTATTCTAAATTTTAGGTTAGCGTAGTTTCAATTTTAACCGAGAAATGGACATAAATAAGATGAAAAGTCGGTACGTTCCAAATAAGCAATTATTAGTTATTACAAGTAACAATCAATTATGCATATTTTGGATCAGTGTAGAATTTGACAAAAAGCACCTATAAATTTTTCAATATGTCCGCCTCTTTATTTGCCTATTTATCTGTTGTTGGAACACCAACGATTGCCTAAACAGAGATAAAAACTGGGAAACTTTACTTGCAACGGAAACTATTAATCGTTTGTCATACGCTAAGTTTGAAAATTTAGTCATAACTTATCGTTCATAGTAGATCTATTAAGATGTGCACTAGCAGAAGATCTATCTGGTGATCATTTAAAAAATTCTTCAAAAGTCTAATTCAGGAAATGGTAATTGATTTGTCTATCACTACAGACGAGCTTCAACCTCTACAAGCTAGTGTTCGGAAGTAGTCGTATCAGATTAACAAAAAATTAGCTCACGAGATGAGCTAACTTAAAATCATTCCGACTTGCACTTTTGGCAACATGATAACGTATCGTCGAGAGAAATGCAAAAGTTTTTTGACTCACATACTCTTAAATAATGCGATAAAATCAACGACATGTAGGTCCCTAGTTGACATTTACTTATTTCCGAAATTAAATTTCCGCTCAGCTGCTGCTGTCCATTTGCTCATAATGTTTTTGCAGTACCCGGAAGGGAGCTTCAATGAGCCTATGAAGCATACGTATGTATATATATATACGACAGAATCGATCCAGTCCACGCGTCCATGTGTCTATGCGAATGTATATATATATATATATATATATATATCACTATATAAGTGTTTGTGTGTGCAAGATAACCTAGGGATATGTGATTTCTGTTCGTTGGAGATCAGCATGAGAAAGATAAGTGTTGCGAGATACAATTGCTGATATAAAAAACTACACTCAAACATTATAAAGAGACCGGAAGAGTTACTAAATAAATAAAGAATAAAGTCGATTAAACATTATTTGACTTTCAAATTAAAGTCGAATATAAATGTTTTAGATTGTCCAGCTTTATCTTAAACATAACCTAAATTCTTATTGAGCCCTTATGTCTTGCTTCTTATTATCTTGTTTTTGTTTTTTTTTTTTTTTTTTTTTTTTTTTGGACAACACAGTAATCATTATCCTTCTAATACGTTTTATAAATAAAGAATTAAGAAAAAATTGCACTCTTTATAATAAATTTTTTTTATAAAAGTAAACACATAAAATTAATTTCTCTTAGTTTTACAAACGGCACAACACCATCATTATAATTATTATAATCGTAAACATCTATAGACACAGGTATGCAAAAAAGATAAATAACACTAACAAATTATGTTAAATTGAAATCACAACAAAATGAAAACAAAAAGTAAAAAAAAAAAAAAACCCGTTTATACAATACAAAATAGCAACAACATAATCTCACGCTCTCATCATAGGAAAACGTAAAAAAAGAAGAAAAAAAAAAAAAGAACGGCCTACAAAAACACAACAAAAACACGCCGAAAAAAGCAATGGAGTAAGAAGAAGAGCAAAAAGACGAAGAAAGAAAACACCTCTCATGTCACTCCAAATACATGCAGACAAATGTACAAACAACAGGCAACAACAATAATATGATGACAGCTTTAACTAAATAAGATGCAACAGCAACAGCAACAGCAAATA